CTAAAGACTGATGTCAGAGTTTGTAGTCTGCAGCTACAGACTGATTACCATGATGCTCAGTACAATAACAGAAGGTGAGATGTCACGGATTCTAAACTTGTGGTTGTATGCTGCTCTGAATAGCGTCGGGCGGCTGGGAATGGCATGCAAACCTTCCGGCGTTTGGGCCCAGGAACGTGCTCTGACCCAGCGAGGCTGCTTGCGCGGAGTAGCCCTACTTTGCTGTAGTAATAGACAGGCTATCTACAGTATGCCTGTCTATACAGCTTTTCCAGAACCCGAGGTGACGGTGTGGATAGTACTGTATCTCTGATTGGTGCCTGTGCGAGGACCACTGTTTTGACTGATATATGAAGTACCTGGAGCCCCGCAGGTTATGGAGTTACTAAGAAAGATGTCAGCGCCTTGTCTGCTTATTTGATTAGTATCAGCAACTGTCTCTCGATTGGGTTCATGTGATGTCTGATTGAACCAATGCGAGTGTTGCATCTTTACTACGGAGTATCTTTTCCATTAAGGAGCTGCTGTGCCGTTCTAGATAAGATATAATATATAAGCGCTTAGTTACTGATGCGCGTTGAGGCCAGGACCTCCTTGAATGGTTAATCGGCGCCAGATCATCGAGATAAGACAAGTTGCATGATCTTGGGACTTTGCAGTTATCGGACCTTCCGCGACTGGCTCGAACGGGCCATTACCCCTGGCATGGAGGACAGACTAGATAGTATCATGCCTACAAACCTGTAGGGCGAAACTATGCCCTAGCAGCTCAGTCTATTGTTAGTGTAAAAGTTCAGCTCAGGTATTCTAAGCCTGAGCCTGTGTACAGATCGAAAGCTACTAGCTCAGCGATTTCACTGGGTAGCACCAGACAGTTGGACATGCTAAACGCGTAGTTGTTATTAGAGAAACTCAATATAGACTGAGAATTAGATTGTGCTATTGACTATATTTATATATGACAACATGTACGTGCGTAGAGACATTATCCTAATTCTGTAAATATATATTATACACAGTAAGTATCATGCATATGCTTTTATGATATTTTGACTATTTACTCAAATAGTTTCTGAATATAAAGGAAGAATGGTTATTTAAAGACAAGTATACTTCCGAAGAGGAGTCTATAATATTACAGGTGTCAAACAGCCTGGAGTATTGCCTCTACCATTCTTTACTTGTCAATATCATGGCTTAATATACTGTGTTACTGTATAAGGTTTGTTGTTTACCCAATGGTCTGTACAGACACGTAATACAGAATGAAATTATTCTTATACTTATTTTAACTGTAAGATCTAGAAAATCAAGAATGATATGAATATATGAATCTTCGCACTCAGAGCTATGTATTAAAGAATTATTATGGATGTAGATTCGTCGAGCAATTACGCGAGACTTATTGATACCTTACTTTTTAAAGAAAGGGAAAGGGGGCATATAACAGTATTAGCAAAATCCTTAATTTTAACAATATGGTTAAGAGTTAGTCCTTAACGCGACAGTTGGCTGCAGGTTAAAAAGATACTTGCCGGTATAAGCACCGTCGGATGTAGTGGCATGTCCTGATATTAAGCAACACTGACAAGTTTGTGGTGAATAATAAGCTTGTAAGGTTGTATTTTCTTGTACTGTTGTATGTAGAAACAACAGGGATATTTTTTGTCTCTCTGTTTGTTTATTTCCTTCTTAATTTATTATTTAATAGTATTCTGTTAATGGTCCTGCTTCTCTTATAGAGTGCCTGGCAGATATCAGCAGTTAATCAGAGTCTTGTACGCGCGCTTAGCACTCGCCTAACTGACTGCATGTTAAGGCAGCATGTATCCTACGTTATTGAAACACCCAAGAACACCATCTGAATTAGTTATTATGTAATCTATTATATTAGTCAGTAAATACTTATAAATCTAGACCATCTAACTTATCCAAGTTGACCAGCTGCTAAAATACGTTGCTACCACATGTAACTCTTATTTGCTCTTCTTTGCTGCCGTCTAAGTGACCATGGCATGTCTTGAACGCAAGCCCTCTACATCCGGTGTAAATCCAGTCCGGAATTGACAAATCACGGGGCAGCTTACATATTCTGTTCAACCATTAAACCTCTATTGTTCTTGTAGTAATAATTTAAGGATAATTTACTTAACTTTCATGTGTTACTGCTACTCGAATAGCAATTTATTAACAATAACCTGCTTTAAGTCAGCTTTACTTACTTACATGTTACTGAATAATTATCATATAGTGCCAACGCCGCGTTCATACCCAGAAAGATTGCAATACTTGACTACATTATAATATTAGTAATTCAAGCACTCTGACTTGCTTTGGTTGAAGGCACATGATTGGTCCCAGGGATATATTTATATACTACTTCTTCTTATCATGCCTAATATTCATTTATGTGCAATATCAGAATCTATAACACTGTAGGAATTTCTCAGACATATGGCAGCCCCCCATTTTCTGAGAAGCTCAGTATAATTTGACCATAGCTATTCTACCAGCTATGTGTCTCTACTTCTACCTCTTAATACTAGTATTCATTATCCTTTCAGGGCCTAGTTCCCTCTCTGATTTGAATTTATGAAACTCTTTCTTTTCATGAGGCCTAATCTTTTACAGGGCACGGTTCTATACGGCCCCGCACTCAGGCCACTTAATAATGAATGATTACTCAGTGCCATGCTACTCAGGTATATGAGAATATAATAGATAAGTCATAATTGTATCAGCAATGAGGCTATCAAATGGCTTGGGATATCTAGGTGTCTGATAAAAAGAAAAAGTCTGTGGAGCCGGGAGGGAGATTATGAGGTGGTCTCGGATCATGTTACTATCTCTATCTACAAGTATTTCCGTAGATCAATAACAATCCTGAGTAGTACTATGCTCCTAACCTGCGCTGTCATTATAGTAGGCGATAATCCCCGTAGATTTTGGACAAATCGCCAGCACAGAAAAAAAAGCGAAAAACAATCATAATGTCTGACTAATTAGCTTTACTCCTGTTTTATCACTGTTGACTGAGGTAGAGACCGGGTTTATTCCTAAAGTTCCTCTTTATCATGATAAAATTAATATATAAGCTACTTGTTCCTGGCGTTCACGCTGCGTCCGCGGGGGCACTAATCTGTAGGGATTTCTTGTAATCCTTCCTCTCTAATTTAGACACTGATTGTTGGGTGTCTGCCAACTGTCCCTGGCCGGGTTTGCTGGAGTGCTTGTTGGCTGTTTTCTAAATTGAGGTAGAAAAGCGGCATACATCGCACCGGTAGCAGACAAATTCAGGCTATTTAATTGATCAATGGATTGGGTGGATATTATACAGATATCAATTAACGGGCAAGCAAAATACTAATTCTAATTAAAGAGCGCTTACTGGCTTCACAGCCTGCGAGGCTGAGGCACCAACAAAAAAATAAAATGGGAAAAACAAAAGTAAAGATCTAAGACGCTGTCATTTCAGACTCGGAGCAGATTGGAACAGTTATGTGCACTCTTCAGGAAACTTGCAGGCCACAGGGGAACACTCCGTACGGGCGGCTCCAACGGGTCAAAGCGCGTTGCTCAGACCCAACCGTGCACGCTAACACTAAGCCTTTAACTCCATGTACTCACAATTTCAGCGAGAGAAAAGTAGAATTTGTACCCGTGTCTCTGAGATGGGTCGTAGCACCAACATGATTCGCCAGATGATTGGTGATTCGTGGTCTTTCTTATCCATCTCTCTGGTTATTGAAGCAAAAGCCGCATACAGGTGCCTGCCACCTGATTTGGATCGCGCCTTAGTGCAAGACTAATGTGATATCTCTTGCATATATCCGGACAATGAAGCCCCTATTTTTGATTGGTGATCCATGCTCATTGATGCATCTAGCTGTCACGACGCGTAGCCAGGATCGATTGTTCAGAACATGGAATCAGCTATAAAGCATCTTTCACCTGTAGATAATTCAGTTATTGGGATATAACATATTACTTTTAGCCCTTATACTTTTTATAAATATTATGATATGATATATTTAACAAGATCTCCACAAGACGAAATGCAGGCGACAGGAACGAGACTTATCTAATACGTTGGCAATGTTGCCTTGGCGGATATTCAAAATGTTATGTATTGAGAAGCTGTGGCTGCTTTCTGCGCAAAGATGGAGCAAGAGTAGGATTATCAGTATTGGTTTCTAAAAACGCTCGGCTCATTCTATGACTTAGAATCTGAGGGTGAAGAAAGCTGAAATTAAGGGCTTGCAATCTCATAAATCGCATGATAATCTGGACGACAAACTCAATGTTATCAGCGTCAGGTTTAAAGATGATGTTGATACTGGACTGGGCACAGCTCATGTTCATGAAGATGGAACTGGGAAGGTGAGGTAAAAGAAGTGGAAGAAGTGAAAAGCTTATTTGCAGTTGAGCTAAAGCTCCGGAGACTGATGCTTCTTATGTAAAGGCGTCGGGAGTTGTGACCGTGTCTTTGATTTCAGAATTTGGGACTACTGTACTATACTACGTTTTAGTCTACCGTACTGTTGAACCGAAGTTTCTTTCTTGATATAGCCTAAGTCATGTCACTATACGCATTCTCTAGTATAAAGTTCTACCGTCACGGTGTAGCCGAACTATAATTATCCCGAGAAAATCTGGCTAATCACAGAAATAAACTCTAATTGGTTGGTTTGCTCTATCACGTCGGGCCAACGTAATAACTCTTTGACCAATGGGATTTCCCAGATGAGGCAATCTACCATTGGCTGCCTTCATGTAAAGTGGAGCTTGATTTATAGATAGAAGTTGGTCTACCAGTAAACATCTTTTATCTTCACCTCCACTCTCGGGTCTCTCATAAAGCTGCTCGCAGCCAAGCTTGAGTCCTGATAAAAAGTCCCTCAACAATTGTTTTATAAAGATATACAAAGTCGGCTTGATGATAATAAAGTACTCCTCTGCTCTAAAAAATGGGCTGTCCCTGATCAAGTCTGATAAGTTCATCATACAAGCAGCAATATTCCGTTGCAAGCGTGCAATGTGTTCTCAAGCACCTAATGTTCAATCCAAACTCTGGGAAGAAGAGAGGCTCCCGTTCTATAGGCCAGAGCAATTCTATCCCGTGCATATCGGTGAATTACTGAATTCGAAATACCGGGTTGTGGGAAAACTTGGTTATAGCTCTTACTCTACTGTATGGCTATTGTTACAGACCCCTGCTAGCTGAACAACTAGTAAGGCGGGTACGTCAGGCAGAAGGCCACACCCGGACGGAAGGGAACTCTTATCGAGGAGAACCCTGATCCAAACCGTCAGGTGCCACGGATCACGTGACCATGGTATACAGACAAGCATGTGGTATACAACATACCATCATGGTCTGTGACTATTAAGTAAGTCTACAGTAGACCTGATGGTATACGATATGGTATACAGAGGGCAGGATATAAGGACACTCTTTCATGTACTTAGCTAGTTCTGTTCTTCGTGCTTAATAATACTGTCTTTAAGTAACTATATATTTTGATAAAGCTTAATAATAATACTTGTCTACACTTACTTACGGATAACTGCACGGCACTATCTAGCCTTACTTCTCTTTTTCTGTTCAGAACCAGTCATTTCTTAAATAATCATCAACCTGACTACCTTGATCCAGTTCACAGGTACGTATTAGAACGGGAGCTAAGCTAACAGGAACAGGGAGAAGCAATCCTAGGATTTGACACATTGAGCACCAGTCAGTACGAGTGTTATTTAATAACAATTATTCATTATATTAACTACATTGAACTCATCGCGCGCTCTACAGCAGCAGGGCCCGACGACACAAGAACTGATAGATATAGTTAGTCAGTTGTAAGAAAGCATCATCATTTTAGAATGATAAAACCAGATACTCAAAGATCGCTTGGCAGTTAAATCTGTTAAGATCTGACTATCCAAGCCATTCGACGGTAATAGAGCAAAGCTCAGGGCTTTCTTGACCCAGTTAGACTTGTATCTCAGCATGAACAGGGAAAGGTTTAAGAATAAGATTAACAAGATCCTTTTTTACATCTATTTACCTGACCGGAGCAGTATTTAATTAATTTAAACCATATCTCTATAAATACCAGGAAAAGTTGGTAGAAAACCAGAATAATAATATTGTTACAGACCCCTGCTAGCTGAACGAACTAGTAAGGCGGATACGTTAGGCAGAAGGCCACGTCCGGAAGACAAGGACTCTTATCGAGTAGAATCCCGATCAGAGCAACCTACAAACCGGGACGGTTACACAACACGTGACCACGACGGACATGTCACCGACACACTATAACATGGCAGCGCTACGACAGGACATGGCAGCGCTACGACAGGACATGGCAGCGCTACGACAGGACATGGCAGCGCTACAACATAACATATCAGCGACATGATATAGCATGGCGACGCCATGACAAAGGATAGGATATAAGGACACTCTTTCATGTACTTAGCTAGTTCTGTTCTTCATGCTCAATTAACATTGTCTTTAAGTAACCTATGTTTTGGTAAAGCTTAGCAATAACACTCATCCGCACTTACTTACAGATAGCTGTGCGGCATTATCTAGCCTTACTTCTCTTCTTCTGTTCAGATCAAGTTATTTTTAGATAGTCAATAACCTGACTATCTTTGATTCAGTTCACAAGATACGTATCGGAACGGGAGCTAAGCTAACAGGAACAGGGAGAAGCGATCCTAGGGTTTGATATATTGAGCATCAGTTAGTATGAGTGTTACCCAGTGATAACCAGTCATCATGTTAACTATATTGAACATATCGCGAGCGCCTCAGCAGCAGGGCCCGATAATCAAGGAACTGATGGACATGGTTAGTCAGTTACAAGAAAGCGTCACTGTCTTAGAACAATAGAACCAGCTACTCGAGGGTCGCTTATCAGTCAAATCTGTTAAGGTCCGACCACCCGAGCCATTTGACAGTAAATGAGCGCGGCTCAGAGCTTTCTTGACCCAGTTAGACTTGTATCTTAATATAAATAAAGAAAGACTCAGGAATAAGGAAGACAAGATCTTTTTTATGTTTACTTATCTTACCAGAGCGGTATTTGATTAGTTCGAACCATATATCCGCGAGTGATAAGAAAAGTTGGTAAGTAATTAGAATAATAATATAAAATAACTTTTTATTAGTTATATCAGATTTAAACAGCATCTCAAACAAACATTCAGAGACATTAATGTAGCATGAAATACTGAATGAAAGTTATAATAACTTAAGTAGACAAGATCAGTATTCGTGTATACTTCGGAGTTTTAGTAAGTCATCAGTTATCTAGACTAGGATAATAATACTTATATTTCATGATTTGAAGAAGGACTTAAGATAGAGATCTAAGAAAAGATTATTTGGCAAGAATGACCGGACACCCTGGCCAAGATGATTAAAGCAGTAATGAAGATTGATAATAAGTTATATGATTTTAATATGAAATAATAAGAGGGTTGATAAACCAGCGGGTCTATACCTCGACATAATAACCAGCCAGGTTACCGAGCTAATAACGGAAGGTCGGCACAACCTAGGAGCTTGGGATACGAAGATCTCTACGGGCTGAAGCCCATGGAGCTGGATGTAGCACAGCATCAGACTTAACAGACTCAAGTGTCTAAGGAGGAACTTGAACAGTGCAAACAAGACTGCTTGTGCTTCAGCTGCGGTAAAGCAGGTTACTAGTTAAAGAACTGTAGTCAGAAACAGCCTCAGAAGTAATTAAGAACTACGAACCAAGATCAAGGCAGAGGAGTCTATGATATTACCACCATTCAGTATAAAGTTTAGACGGAATCTGCGATGCAGATATTAGGTAATAAAAAGCTACATACTATTCAGCATGATCAGTTATTAAAGAATAAGATGTACTGTGATTAGTTAAGATAACAAGCCATCCCGGATGAGTTAACAGTATTATCTAGTTAATAAGAGGATTAATGACTGTCTATACCATTAGTTTGGACCACAGAAATTAATAATAATAGTTATAAGCCAGTTCTGAGGAACAACTATCCTAGTATAGTTTAGAATAAAGATAAATCATTAAATAAAGAGTACAGTATACTGCTTGAAGGCTTTGAATCCAGTAAGAAAAGACTTAACAAGATATTTAATACTCCTGAAAAACCTTTATCAGAAATTAGTAAACTTTATTTATTATAGCAAGATAAGGATAAGAAGAATCAGAAAAATGATTAAAAAAACGTTATTTATTGGTTAGACTGTATCTTGAAAAAGATTTTAGAGAATCCAGCATGATTCTGTCCAAAGCTTAAGATAATCATGCAGCATTGTTTATATTAGGATTTAAAATATTGAAAATCATAGAATGAGACTTGGAAATAATATTTATAAAGATGTTCTTGTTACCCGGAAGTTTGCTTAATATATGGATAAGATAACACGGACTATTATTATCAATTATTAAAGATTAGTTAGAAGATAAATATTGTAGAAACAGAGTCTTAATATAATAAACCATGTCTATATATTTATTTTAAAGAAAGTAGAGATTATTGAAAATATAATAAACTCTCTTGGCTTGTATACTATATGAATACATGCTTAATATACTATAATTAGAAATACATTACTAACTATTAATCTAAGATACTGGAAGTGATTAGGACTAAGATAAGTCACTATCTATATTCTATCTTTGATTGTGCGTGTAAAGAGTACCAAAGACACTTTTATCATAGATTAATATATTGGCTGGCATGTTTTGATAATTAGTATATAATATATTATATAATAAAGATAGAAGGCTCAAGGTTTCCAAGGAGATATCTACAATAGTTAGAATCTAATTAGCTGGAATAGTAGTTAATAGCCACAGAATTAGGACCATATCTGAAGATCTAAGTAGTTGTATTAGATTGATTAGTCTAAGTACTGGTAGATTCTGGAGTGACTGGGAACTTTATGAATCTGTGATTTATGTAATAGTTTAGGATATTTAGATAATAAAAAGAAGAATCCAAACTGATTACAGGATTAAATAGAGAGAATTTGAGAATTCTTGTGTTAACAGTTAAGTCAGGAACTATATTTATAACTATAAAGATTTACTATAAGTGTATAGACTTTAACATGATATTTTTAAAATAGTATAATATTATATTAGGGATTCTATAACTCAGGAATCATAATCCACAGATTGATTGAAAGACTGAGAGTCTTTAATTCACTAATTGTGATTGTCTAAGACGACACCAGCAAGGACCAGGTATGGGGTCTGGATCTATACAGCCCGCTACTTAGCAAGAAGCTGAAGCAAGGACTAAGTAATCTAGCAAGGGAAGGTTAAGATCATCACGAAAGTCTAACGCGCCAGGTATTAAAGGTAACTTAGAGGAAAATAGCATCTTAAGTACAGTTATATAAGTAATAATAGTAATTAAGCCATTATAGAGAGATTAGCTCATAGAATTATCAGGATGGGTACTGATAATAATAGAAGAGTACTATAAGTATAGTATTAACAGTTCTAATATAGAGATTAAGATGACTGTCTAGAGACTAGAAGATTTATGGGAATTTCTAGCTGCAGTCAAGAGTAATACGCAGATTTTATTATAGTATAAGAGATTTAAGGATTTATTCAAGTAGTTAGAGCAACCTGAATTATCTTAGTATGGAAAGTATAACCATACTATTCTTATAAAGAAAGGAAAGTCACTGGTATGTAGAAAGATTTATCTAATATTTAAAAAAAAATTGCAGGTACTATAAGAATATATTAATAATCAACTGGCTAAAGATAATATTAGGTCTTTGAAGTCACCAGCAGGATATGGAGTTTTATTTATATTAAAAAAGAATAGTAGTTTATAGCTATGCGTGGATTATTAGTCACTGAATATTATTATAATCAAGGATTAACACCCGTTATTTTTGATTTTAGAAATCTAAGATAAGATATAAGGAATAAAGTGGTTTACTAAACTTGATATTATGGATATATATTATCGTATATACATCACAGAAGGTAAAGAATGGAAAATCATATTCAGAATAAAGTATGGATACTTTAAGTACTTGATTATATTATTTAGGCTTACTAACACACCAGTATTATTTTAGTAATATATTAATAAAGTTCTTAGAGAATATCTTGACAGATTTATAATTACTTATCTAGATAATATATTAATCTTCTTGAAGACTGAGGAAGAATATGTAAGATATATAAGACTAATTCTGTATAAACTATGTCTATATTAGTTATAATATAAGCTGAAGAAGTATGAATTTTATATACAGAAGACAGAGTTTTTAGAATATTAGATATTCACAGAGAGAAT